ATAGCCTCACTACTTTGTAAATAAAATTACGGACGTTCAAAAATGTAGTTTTGTGCGATTTTTGTCAAATTTTCGTTCAATTTTTATCACATAATCGTCTATGAAATAACGAACAGCTGTTCGGATCAAGATTATTTTTTCTAGCTGTCAATGACATGTTTACAAATGTTGTTTACAAATACCGCAACTATTTCGAATCACGTTTTGAAAGCAAATCCCAACCAAGTAAGATTAAAAACGTTTTTCTTACATAACGGATTTAATTAATCGCAAGTGCAATAATATAGTCTAATAGTGTAACCGTAAATGAAATTAAATAACTAGACATCGTCCAAATCGGAACCAGAAATTCTTTGAGTATAAAATGTTTCTTGAGTTTTGACAACCAGAAAGAAGAAGACCATGAATCAGTGTTGTATAGGGCTGTGACACTGAAATGATCGTCGCCAATAGCTTACAAAAAAGGTTTCCACTCATTGACGGCGCTTCAATGGCGGTTGTGTAAAGTGTAAAGTAAAAAATCACAACTGCAGTGGGTGATTGTAACAGAGGTTTAACAGAGGAAGTGCTAAACTCGCTTTTCCAATGTGTCACTTTCTGTTTCTACTCACCGTGTGATGCAATCGCTGGACCATACAGCCAATAGGCCCATAGCTCATATCTTGGGTACCTAAGCCTACATATTTATTCATAACAACCTTTTTGACGACGATCCTTGATACCGGTACTTTTCCATAGAATACATGGCCTACCTACTTAAAAAATAAAATTACAAATGACCAAAACCCCAACATTGTGTGATTTTCGTCACATTTCCTTCTAATGTTAATAGATATACTAATCATTGTTTAGAGAATGCGTAATCTATTAAATAACAAAAAGTTGTTTGGGTAAGGTTGCTTTTTTTTCAAACTGACACCGATAAGTTTACGCTATAACTTTTTACGAGAAAATCCAAAAGCAAGAGATCAATAACCTCGGGACTAGATATTAATGTATTTAATTGGTCCGATTTACTATAGTTCTTAGGTAGGTTCTTATGTAGGTACTGGTTCTTTTCCTTAGAACCGGTAGTTTACAAATTTGATATCGTTGGTGTTGCACCTTATTTATCAGAGCCGTCCGTATTCAATTTAAGTGATGTCTTAACTCTGTATAAGTTTTGCTTTTTCTGTCTGGATTCCAAATCTTAGCTTACCCGGTATGCTAAGAAAATTATAACCTATTTGAGTAAAACATTTGTTGGGCAAACCATCATGAATTGTTTACGCCTTTATATTGTTTATGCATCAATAGTTCGTGGCCTTTGTTGGATTGTTGTATTGTGTTGTTTTGTTGTATGTTGGTAACGCATTAATGTCCTTATTTGTCAGTGTTTCACGGAATGGACAAGAGCACCTTTGATACTGAAAATGTCAACCGGAATAAAGTGTTAAATGGTGAGGTTGAGGTAGTACTTTAAATGCGTTTAAGTTAACCGATGTGGAAAGTAGCTTTCAATTATAGGCCTACTTTAGGGCTACGCTTCATGGATCTATAAAAGATTTTTTAGTTTAATCATTGGACATATGGACCAACACGATCCGGGTGACATTTAATTGCGAAGCATTTATTTTGGCTTGAACTGTCAGATACTGTATTTGCGAAGGTTTATAATATAATAGTTTTGCCAGCATATCTGCAAATATGCAAACTAATTGCTGTTCTTAATCTTAATATAAGAAGGTTTCAACTGACTACTATAAGATCCCCGTGCGTAGAACGGGCACACAGCTAGTTAGAGAATATAAACGTTGTTAAGTGCACAGGTGTGCTGCAATTGGGGTTTAATACATTTGGACTTATTCAAAAGTAAAATAGTTTTCTGTGCTGCAATCTGTAGAAACACTGTGGCACTATTTCAAATCATGAATAATGCCAAAGATTACATATGCTAACGCAAAATAATGCGTTAGCATATGTAATCTTTGATAATGCTAATACAGAATGTTGTGATTATTCAAACCTACAAAACAGTTGGTGAAAGTAAACATCTGCTTTTAAATTATATTTATTTGTAAACATTTTAGATCAAAAAGTCTGACATTGGCCCACTTAAAACCCTCTGGGGCAGAGCCCTTTTGACGGATCTGCACCAAACTTTACTCGAACCATCCTTGAAAGATGCTTAATAATGCCTGAAAGTTTCATTACAATCTGTCGAGCGGTTTCGGAGTCCATAACGTATATACACACACACACACACACATATACATACATAGTTCCTCTTTTATAGATATAGATTTTGATGAATCTTTATTTATTCTATACCAAGTTAACATTTGACTAAGTTAGACTTTCATACCTTTTTTGTAGCAGCAAGCCTGAGTAATTGTCATTTAAATAGGGACTTATTATGACCTGTTTAAGTAAATATTCAAGTGAAAATCTAATCTGGGAAATGGAAATTTGTGTAGTCTGCAGGTTTGCTGCGGTCGGGGTATTATTTTAACTTATTATTGCATTACAAAGCCTATTAATTACAAACTATATAATAATGATAGCAAGATAAATGTTTCCTAGCCATAATCAGACTGAACAATTTTGATTCAGTATTATCACTGTATGCTTGATATTAAATTCCTGCCTTTGAGAGAGGCCTGATCATTAATTTTGATTACTGGTAACACATGCCTTGGTAAGAAACAATATTATTACTTTCTCCCCCAATACATAGTACATAGAGAAAGTCTTGTTTTCCTCAAAATCAAAATTTTTGAGTTCTGTGTGGAAATATAAAGATTTGTGATGTCTGTGTGGATGTGTACTGAGCTACAGACTACATTCTGTGGTATGATTTTTATGAAATTCGTAATTTGAGGACTAATTCATAGTCCTCTCCAGAAAATGTTTTTCTTTTTGCTGAAATTTTGATTTTTTTTTAAATTATGATTTACCCATAAAAGCCCTCAGTCACAGAAAAAATAGGATTTTCACCAAATTTTCTTTACGGATTTTAAATAAAGATTTGTCCTTAGTGGTCCTATCAACTCTAGTTAAAATGGCACAAACTACAATGCAGTACTGTATAAATCTATATATCTAATTCCGTAAGCCCAAAATTTTACAATGAAATTGTGAGCGAACCGGAGGGCGTAGAAAGCTGGGAGGGGTCTCATTTTAAAGGTCTGGGCATGAAATTTTGGGGAAAATTATTCATTTTTCTTAATTATGCACCAAAAGGTTGTGACAGAATAAAATAATTCACATTTAAATAACATGGGAATCTAGGTCATGTTTGCTTTGTTTACATTAAAACATGTGGTTTAACTTTATTTAAAGCATATGGTAATATGTAATATGCACTGTAATATGTATACTAACCCGAGAGGTTGAACCTACCAATTGACTATATTAATTTAATTGCACGATCTGGAATACCACCACACAAATTAGTTTTAAAAGTTGGTTCAATAGTGATGCTCATTAGAAATATGAAGCTAGGGTCTGGATTAGTTAATGGAGTACGATTGGTTGTGTTAGGTATTACTGGAAAAAGTGTAAAGTTAGTAGTAATTACTGGAGTAGGCAAAGGAAACGTATTTTCCATGCCAAAAATAATACTAATATCCACAGATCCTAATATGCCGTTTAAGTTTACAAGGAAAATTTTCACAAAAATTGGCATTTATTTGAAAAATTTATCTCCATGTATTTTATCTAAGTGAATTTGTCTATATTCAAAGAAATGTATATACATTTAATTAATAGTCATGAAGATTATAATTGAAAATTATCCTTAGTTGTATTATGATTAGAAAGTTTATACTATAAACACACCGCATGAAAAATCCTTTGTAATTTTTATTTTTAACAGAGCAGACCTCAAAATGCATTATGCAGGTATGTAATAACTATTATACATATTATAATATACAATAATGTTAAACGATAATCAAGGTAGGGTAACCCATGGGACTAATAATTTGTACAAAATAATTACTAGAATATATATATAGGGGCTACTGCCCCTACAAGCCACTAGTTATGGTTCTAAAGTCATTACAACTTATTTGATTTTCCTCATAAAATGTCATTGTTTTTAATTTGCAATACGGTACAAGGCCTATTAATTACAAACTAAATTATAATGATAAAAATTTTGATTATCAGTATTATCACTAAATGCTTTATATTAAAAACCTGCATTTGCAAGGCCTGATAATTAAGTTCGATTACCAGTATCACATTTTTAATATCACGATAAGATTGGTAAGGCTCCTTTTATACTCTGCGGCGCCCGCCGCTGCGTTTATGTTTGGCCATGGCCTCAGTGTGGGTATCAGGGCTACCAACTTAAAAATTATTTTTATTCACCACACCATTAGTGTGATTAAGCCCCTTTGTCATCCCTGAGCCTTTAGTCCTCTGATGAACAATCCCACAAACTTGGTCTAGATTTCAATTTGTAGATGAACTGTTCAATGTTGACTTTATTCGTTGTAGTTCTCTCATTTTGCATACACAAAACTTGCAGACTGATGCTCAGAAAATAAAAACAAAACCACCTACCGGCAACAGAAAGTGAAGAGGCAAGGCAGGACCGTGTTGGGCTGAGTTTGTTTTGGTCAGTTGGCAGCAATCGACAGTGCCGCTGCGGCACGCCGCAGAGTATAAAAGCTCCCATATAACGCAATGCACCTAGAGGCCGCAAGTTTCTGCGTCTCCTAGGTGCTCCGTTACATCTAACCAGCCGCAGTGGCGTGTGGCGGCCGCCGCTGAGTATAAAAGGGGCCTAAGATACAATATTTCTTAGTTAGCTATTATGGTTACTGTAAACAGCAATTTTTTTGTGTATTCAATTAAACTGTTTTCCTGCCTGTGGGCACTTTCATTTAGTAATAATGGTAAAGATTTAAAAATATAGTGACTTTCTGCAAAAGCAAAAAGGTAAATACTCAACGACACCTCGAATGTCGTAAAACTGAGACTTTCAAAGGGAAAATAATAGCACATCATGATGAAAAATAGAGCTAGTTTTATTTTAGTCAGTACTATTTAGTTATGTACAAACATTACCTTACATTTACTAAAATCATGACAAACCTACAGAAACTAAGCAGAATTCAAAATCTGTAAAATAAATTTAATATCACCATAAACTAAACAAGCAATAATGAGAATTTTAAAAACAACAACAAATTTATAGGCAAGAGAGACACACTCATACATAACATTTAAACATTTTGTACTATTAAAAATATTTACAAACAGAGGAGAAATATATAGTTCCCTAAATCTACAACATAAAGTACATCTTCTGGCACATAAGACCAAACTAGAGTATCCGTAAACAAAATTAAGATATAGGCTACCTTCTTTAAAAATTGAGTAACTGTTGAGTATTTTCATTAATGGCTGTGTACTGACACGAGTTTTAGGTTTTGAAAAGGCAATATTATTGAGCACCAAACATTTCTGATAGAATCATTACTGTCATCATCATAATCATTAATATCTGTATTGTATTTAATTGTTTATAAAGTTTTTAATTTCAGTAATGCAGTAGTCAAATTTATTCTCTTTTACTTTTAGACATTGAAAGCGTGGTGGACACTTGTCCAAACTAAAAACACCAACAATGTTTGAAGTTAAAAAGTACTCTATTATTTTAGTAACATTATCTGAATTGTTCAAACAAACTAATAAAATAACTATTCCGCTAATAACGTCTTACTATTAACAGCAAGCATTACAAATTAGCAGTACCTCGGTAATACAATTACTTAGAATGTGATTATTTTTGTAACGCAAGAACTGCAATTCAAACAAGTAAAATAACGCTGATCCTTTTTCCCTATTAACAGCGGACAGCATGAAATAATTTAATACCTTGGTATCTGATTATTTTTGTAACATCATCTGAACTTTTAAACGAGGGAAATAAGCTGATCCTGTCTTCATATTAACGGCGACCGGCTGTAAAGTCCTTAATAAAAATGTTTTATATCAATATTACCAAAAAACTAAGGAAAGTTCCTGACTATTATTGCATAGGTACAGTGGAACCTCGATAACAAGACCCTTAATAACAAGTCTCCCTTGATAACAAGGGTCGTTTAAAAGCCCCTTGAAATGATTTTACTCCTAATCACATGTTATTGCAGACCTTAAAAACAAGTCCACATTGATTATAACCTTATTTAATAACTCCCATGATATTCTTAGTATCTAGGTTCTACTGTATGTTCCATCTCTGGTTTGTTTTTGTGGCTGTGAACAAAGCGGCGAGATTGAGCGGAGTACACAAGTCACTCACGGGTGGCCTTCTGAACCAAATGGATCCAAACAAAAGGAAGTCTACAGTACAAAACTTTTGATTTAATCCTAAAAGAAAAAAAAACAATACCTGGATATTAACCAGGATGATTTCTAAAAGGATGATTTCAAATTTCTTTATGCAAACATTACTTGATTTTAGAGGATCCTAACTTCTAGACTAGACAGAAATAGGCCTTGACAATACAACCAGCTTTATACCGTTTACTTAATACCAACACCTGTATTAAACTTCTTTGCTGACAAAATGTATGAACGAGTGTTAACAAAATGGTGAACATTACATAAATAAATCAAATGTAGTGTGTGTATCTGACCCCCTATGCATTAAAGGATTGCTGAAAAAGTGGAGTATAAAAAATATCAAGTTAAGCAATTAGTATAATATAAATAGGCCTAGCTATGGATTTGTATCCCTAGGCACAAAAGGTTTTAGAATATGTTCAAGTTTGTTTACTATGCATAAAATGCTACTAGAGTACTTAATATACAACATTTTTTAAGTGTTTCAGCCAGTATTTAAACATTTAATTAACTTGATGATTGTAATTTAATTTCAATTTATTCATTCAAATGCATACAGTTACGTCACTTCTGGCACATGGTAACATATTGAAGTCGGCAGTTTTAGTGGATCAATGAAGGCTTAAATATTTCACCCAAACCAACATAGTTAAGCGAAAGCATAAACCCACAATTTAAAAATGGCTTAAGAGTTAACATTTAAGTTTTTTACTTTAGTAAAACCATTGACTATTGGATACTGAAGTAAACATCCCATCTACATTGACCAGCTGTCGCAATATTTATTTAAAAAAGAACATTGCTGAGCGAGCCAGTCACAAAATGCGCTAGTGTCTAATATTCTATTTTCAACCTAATTATGTTGCTGACATAGTTGACGGCTCATTACAGTTTCTATAGCTCACAATAAGTCGTTGCATCAGTTTTACTTGGTATTCTAAGAAATTAGTCATTTAAATCAGCACAATCTGTCCGTGGCTCACATCAACTATGACAATTTTGAAAAAAAAACAGGCAAAAACTTTTAAAACAGGGATGGAATATCTAGTTTTATAAATAGTTAAATGTAAAACCTAATTGCATACAATGTAAAGAAAATAGCATAGACTACTTACATTTATGCTTCACATAAAATAATATTACAACAGTCTTAAAATCGTCCTTTATAACTAAGTTACTTAAATCTACCAATAGTATTAATATCAGTTGTATGGCACCCTGTAAAAAATGAGACGTTTACAAAAACTATGTGTATAGTCAAACAACAGAACTGACAATTGAATTTGTTGAATAAAATTAAACAGTCGAGGTTGAAAATAATTTGTGGCTAGCTAGACAAAGGAGGGCAAGTACACATATACTTACTTGCCCCCCTTCGTCTTACAAGCCACGAATTCATGACCGTGTCTGGCCAGTATTTAATAGAACTCTGGAAATAGGCCAATTATCAAAATAGGATGGACCATTTTATTTGTTGTTGCAAACACATTTAGGTTGTAGTTTTGTTGCTGATATCATTTTGGTATATAAAATAACTAACAACTACCCACATCAACATTTTGAGCTCAAAGATACAAAAGTAAGTGATAACCATCATAAATTGAATTGTACCAGTTAAAAAATTCAGTTTCTTGGCATTAGTATTAATCACATAGGATAACAATAATTACATTGCTAGACACTAAGTAACAAGAAATAATTATATTTACAGTTTCTGTAGCCCTTTACTGTACAAGGAAGGAGTCAACTTCAGTTTCAAACTTGACAACAGGTTGTGTGATATATGAAATCAATTCATAAGCTTTACACATACAAATCGGTTATTGTAATATCAAAAGTTAATATTGCACATCTGGATATGTATGTAGATGTAAAAGTAAAACTAAAACTATATTCCTGTTTTGAATACGAACAAAAAGTTGGGGGGATTATGGAAGCTGTTCTGGAGATAACTTCTTTAGAAAAAATATTTATAAATTAGATACCATCAAAAGGTAAAATACCGAAAATGTTAATTTTTCATCAAAGAGAATGCAGCTTTAGAAGCTTTCATAGGAAGTTAAGTTGTACACCTTATCTGATGTAGTAGTCTTTGATTTCCAAAATGACAGTAGAACTCCTAATAATATTCACAAATCCAACTTGGTGAAAAACTTAAAAAGTTAGCTGTTTTTGAACGACATGCTTTTAGGCGAGGTGTTATTATTCACGTAGATTATTGTGGGCTTCACTCACCTTTATTTTTGTCTGTGATGTCCGGGACTCGTCAAAACACACATAAATACACATATATAAAACACAAAATCGTCCACGGCATCAAAGTCCGACGTTTCGCGGAACTCAAAAAAACGTTCCGCTTCTTCAGGGTAGAAATATACTATTTTTAGCCCGCACACGGGTTGAACGCCTAACCACGACTGCCGGATCAGCTGAGCTTGGAGGAGGACGGGCGGGGGCGGGGGATATTCATATTAATGATAAAAAAGGAGTGTAGTGGTTTTTTTGAGTTCCGCGAAACGTCGGACTTTGATGCCGTGGACGATTTTGTGTGTTATTTATGTGTGTTTATGTGTGTTTTGACGAGTCCCGGACATCACAGACAAAAATAAAGGTGAGTGAAGCCCACAATAATCTACGTGAAGTTAGCTGTTGTAATGGAGTCATGAATTACGGTTACAGATTCGTAAAAAACAAATGAAACAATAATGTATCTTGCTCCTAACAACTTAAAATCTTGTACTACTGGATCTTGATGAAGTCAGGAAAACGTTTTACTTTCACCTTATGAAATCTCTCCATATCATGACTAGACCTTAATAGGTGACCCATACAGTAGATTCCCTCTTCTCCTCGGAACCAAAGCCTGGCCTGATATAGCTTTTTCCAGTTAAACCGATGTCAATAATTTAGAAACCAGTAATTTACATCATTACAATCTGCCGGTATCTCACTTCAATTCTGTCAATTTTTTTATTTAAAAACTGGTGACAGCTTTAACATGGGGATGGAATGTCTAGCTCTATTAAGTCAAAGATATAAGATATGTAATTATTATAAATGCTATTATTATTAAAAAATAACCCAAATATTATGCTTGAATTTAGGAGAGCATTGTATTTAGACACGTAATCACTGGTCTCAAACTTTCCCATCTTTCTCAGAAAGGTCGTTTCAGTACCCATCACTTCCTGCCATCCAGTCCGCTTAAATCCATGTGCTGATAAAAATTGTGCGGGTAAAGAGATGTCACCTCTGCCAAGTGTAGTGGTTAAACCGATTTCCGGTAAAAAATAATCCGAATAAGAGCAAGTCTACTGTAATAGCATTCCCAGTGATTTGCTAGTTTAAAAAGTAAAATCATAGATAAAACATACTCCCTAAGTAGATTTCTCATCCTTTATAAGCTGAAGACAATTATATTGTTAGTTCTGTCCGGTGCACTGTAGAGGTCGTGTTTTGTTTGCAATTTGTTTCTTGTTATTTCAGTCATTTAAAACCTGGTTCAACCAAATAAAACGATCTAATCATATAAACCATAATTCACCCCTTGCTTACATAACTAAACAGTAAAGCACAAATTATGAAATTAACCCTTAAAATAATAGAAACAATATTTCATTGACACCAGAAATTGAATTGAATTAAATTTGATTTTTCTATCAGTGTCACCAAATATGAATTAGACACGATAAACAAGCTAAAAAATGTACAATGGGATGAGAAGTCTACTTGTGTTGGTTAGTCTATGGTAAAATCTTTTTTTTCAGTTTTTCCCCAAAAGATTTTTTTTGGGGAAACTGAATTAATTTATAACTAAAGAGTCACTAACCTTACACCCCAGGAAGTTGATGTTACCAAAAGTCCCTTATTTTAGTAAAACAGTTGAACTAGGTGTTTGATTCCTTGCAAGTCCATAATTCCCGTGATTTTTTTACACTAAAAAATAGTTCATTCCAAGATTAAACCTTAGGAGTTCTACTGTACAACCTCTTCATGATAAGTATTTTTATCATAAACAAATATATCAATCACAGTCAAGTCCTCGTCACTTGTGACTTGTTTTATAAAGTATCGAGATCTAAATGAACTTGTCTGTCGTTGGACGCAAGCTTAACCAAAGTCTTCTTCACCCTCAAGGAAGGTAACCTTACGTTTGGCTTTTGATGCCAACATTCTCGGATTATCTTGCTGATCCCAGCTAACGTCTGTGAACATCAAAACAACAGTAGTTAAAATTAAGTCATGTTTATTTTTTACAAAGTAAGTAAGTTATTTTTTACAAAAGGTTCAGCCTTGTCACAATACTCAGTAGGAAAACATCCCTATAAACTTAATGCCAAGGCCATTTGTACACACAAGTGCTTACATAATAAAATAATGTTGTAAAATAAATGATTTTAATCATTTTACAAGATTTATTTTCAATTAAATAGGTTTATTGTCATTTTTAAATTTGGAAAGAGAGACAAATGTGTTTCTTATGTTTTTATCAAAATAGTGCAATAGTTCATCTGTTTTCAATTTTATTACTAGTTTATTGCTAGTTGGTACTTTTATTTAGAAGTTATTTAACCATCAAGGATTTCAATCAAATCTGGTAACCGGTTTAACCCTTTTTTTAATAGAGGGCCAGGCTTTAAGTAACCATGGGATTGCAGCGCAGCTAGAACAGCTTATTGTGCACCCTCATTCACAGGTCCTCATTCTTTGTCAAATCCCAGGTCCTTTGTGAGCCGTGAGATCCTTTTGACTATGGTGACCCGTTCTTCCCTTTGATCTCCAGTCGATAGGCCAAGGGATCTCATGCGCAGACCTTGTAGGGCTGGGCACATAAATATAACGTGGAATGCTGTCTCCTCCTCCTCTCCACATTTCCTACATAAGAGGCTTTCAACTTGAATTCCCATCTTGTGTAAATGTCCACGGAATACCCAATGGCCTCTAATAAAGCCAACCACCTTCCGCAGGGTCTTCCTACTCAGCCCAAGGCCATCTGCCGCTATCGCACCTGTAGGTGCCAGCAGCATTCTCTTTGACTGTGCATTTCCTTCTGTTCTTTCCCAGTTCCTTGAATGTTCTATGCCCATCCACTGGCGAACAGCTCTCCGTGCTGTGCTGTAAGCAATGCCACACGTCGGCTCTGGACCCACGAGCGGGCTTTCAGCTCCTTTGTTTGCCCACTTGTCAGCTCCCTCATTGCCAGCAAAACCTTTGTGCCCTGGAACCCAACTAAGGATGATCCTGTTGTTCTTTCCCAGGGCTTTCATGGCCTGATGACAGTCCCATACAGCCTTGGAGGTAAAGTCAAAACTGTCAAGTGCCATTAGTGCTGCTTTGCTGTCTGAGTTCATGTATACAGTATGGCCTATAAGACCGCGCTTCAAACACACTCTCGCACACTCAGACAGGGCAACAACTTCTGCCTGGAATACAGTGGCCATTTTTCCCAGGCTTACGCAGAACTGCGCCTTGGGTCTGACTCCATATATTCCAGCCCCCGTGCCCGTTGGCTTTTTCGAGCCATCTGTATACCAAGTGATCCTCCTTTTCATGTATTCAGGTTCACCCTTGTCCCAGGCATCCCTGTCAACAATGTTGACATTGTATGGTTTTTCTAGATCTGTGATCTTCACCAAGTAGTCTGGTAGCATTTCCAAGGTGTTCATCTGCACCTTGACTACAATTCTTGTGTGCTCACTGGAGGCATTATACTTCCAGTTGTCACTGCAAGCCATTCTGTAGGCTGCCATCCTTGCCTCTCCTTTCACAATGATGTCGAGAGGTGGCAGGTTTAGCACTACTTCCAGGGCTGCAGTTGGAGTGCCTTTGTTTAACCCTTAACCCCTTAACCGCGACACACGTGTTATTCCGTGGTAGTGTTCTGTATACGATATGGCGACGCACGGAATATCACGTGCAACAGCCTTGTGGCGTTAACCGCGACGCACGAGTTTAGACGGTTTTGACGTTCTCAGCTGATGCATTTCGTTGAAATTAGTCTTCTGCTAATTTTTTTTCTGGTCATTGACCCAAAGAATAGACAGTCCATTTGGTGCTGCACTCAAGTGTATGTTTCTGGAACTACGTCTACACCACGTGTTCTGCATTGTCAAATGTCAAAGGTCCTACTTGCTAGTTGCTACTGTCGCGTTTAGATGATAACGTCGCATCTTCGTGTTATAATACAAACCCGTTGTTTCTGTTATATCTGTTTTTGATTTTATGTGCAATATTGTGTGTTTTTGTTGATGGTAATAATCAGTGATTGAAATGGCCGATGGCGAACTGTTACGACTCCTGGAACTGCCCAGCTCGGAGTTAGGACCCGGTGAAGACTTATCGGATGATGGCGGATGGATGAGTGATGACGGGGATCTTGACCATGCTAATTTAGATGCGACTCCAGAGATAAGTGATAATGATAATTTTATAGATGATGATTACAATAACCGTAATTTAGATGACATGGGTTCGGAGATAGATGAGCCTGATTCCCCCCCTATGCCTAATAATCCTGGTCCTTCCGCACCTAAACGAGGTCGACGAAATATACCAAACCAAAGTAATAAAAAAGGAAGACAACCTAAACCAAAAACATTTAAACCAAAGAAGAAAAAGAAAAGCCTTAATCCAAAAAGAAAGCCAAAAGAACCTAAATATCCTCACGTATGGAATTCCAATACATTTGTGCCAGTAAATTATGATTATGATACCACAAATAGTGGGGTAGTAGGTAGAGATATGTATCCCGATCCTTGTCGTGAGGTGGATTGTTTTGACAAAATGTTCCCAAATGAGATCTTAGAGTTTATTGTTGAGCAAACAAATAAACACTATGACTTTATTGTTTCGTCACAGGCCCCAACACCCCGTTCAAGGCTCAAAAATTGGCAACCGTTGACTGTGAAGGAGTTAAAAGTTTTTATTGCTGTTTCCATACTAATGGTACACAATAAAAAAATTGTTTTGGAAAATTATTGGTCCACTGATAAATTACAGCAAAATTTTATCCCTAACATCATGCGCCGAGATCGATATTGCACAATATTGCGTCTATTGCATTTCAATGACAACTCTGAGCCAAATCAGTATGGTAAGCTTACCAAAGTCAAACAGCTAATCGATATGTTTAGGCGAACGTTTTCACAGAACTTTATTCCGTTTCGCAATTTATGTATTGACGAAAGTCTTCTATTGTTCAAAGGCAGATTAGCATACAAACAGTTTATCCCCTCCAAAAGAAGTAGGTTTGGGATAAAGACCTATGTTTTGTGCGATTGTGAATCAGGGTATGTTCTTGACGTGATTGTGTACACTGGAAAAGAAACTGAGATATATGACACAGAAAGCAACATGTCTCTCCATTATTTTATCTATTCATTGTGTTTGTCAAGAATTTCAATTTTTTTAATCATATTAGGTTTTTGTTTTATTGTAAAGAGTTTTGGGACTTCAAGATGTTTGTGATAACAGGCTAGAGAGATAAGGAGGACACACACACTGACTGATGGAAGTGATAAGAGTTTGGACTTGATTCCCTTTAGTTTAATGAGCTGCAGACAAGCCATGTCAGGCTTTTGCAGCATGGTGAAAAATGATATGTAAAAATGTGTGTTTCAATTTGTTTCAAATAAATAAATAAATAAATAAATAAATAAATAAATAAATAAAACCTAGGTTTGTCGGGTGCGATTGTCACAACACTTCTCGCACCTTACTTGAACAAAGGCCATTGTTTGTACGTTGATAATTGGTATAGTAGTCCTGATCTGTTTATGTTTTTGCATTTGAACGAAACAAATGCTTGTGGTACAGTTAGATGGGACAGAATTGGCATGCCTGAATTTCAAAAAGAGTTACTAGTTGGTGAACGGGAGGTTGTCAATGATGGGACGAGCATGGTTGTAAGGTGGACAGATAAAAGAGAAGTAATGATGATCACAACAGAACATGACGATAAAGTAGTTGAATCCGGAAAAGTGAACCACGTAACAAAAGAAAAGGTTATGAAGCCAAAATGTGTCCAAGAATATAACTATAGCATGGGCTCCGTAGACCGCACAGATATGATGCTAAGCAATGTTACATGTGTAAGGCGCACCCAAAAGTGGTACAAGAAGCTGTTTTTACATTTTGTGGATCTAGCAATACTAAACTCTCATGCAATATACTTATGTGTAAGTGGCAAGAAACCAACTTTGGCCGAATTTCATCTAGAGCTAGTTCGGCAACTTTTAGAGGAAAACATGGCAGCTCAGACCCACAGTCAAAAAACCGGTGGTCGTCCTTCTCACGGTGATACACCACTAAGATTGACTCAGCGTCATTTCCCGTCATGGCGTCATGTATTCCTTCAACTGAAAAAAAAGAGTATCCCTCACGCCAGTGCTACGTTTGCCGTCACACAACGCGACGTGAACCGGCCAGGCGGGAGTCGCGGTACCAGTGCCAGGATTGCGCGGTTTCCTTGTGCGTAGTGCCGTGCTTCAGGGAATATCATAACCTGAAGAATTTCTAAGAAATGTCAAGGAAACTTTGTACATAGTGTATATATATATATAGATTTCAATATTTACATCCGCTTGTGTGACCAGACAACAGAGTAAAACCCGTACAGTAAGTAAATATGAATAATACAATATTTTATTATTTATTTATTAGTTTATCATTATTAATTATTTATAAAATAAGAAATTAAATCATTATTTACGCTAACATGAAAACTAATACACAGTTTATAATAAAATTTATCATAGTTAATAGCTTTAAAATACGTTTTTAACATATGATTTCTCAGAATGTTAAAAAACCACGAAAAATGTGAAAAAACCCCGCGCTAGGCCATCGGCGAGCGTAATTAAATTGTGCGCCACTGATCGCGTCTGAACCGCGGCGTGCCAACTTCGGCCGCGGTTAAGGGGTTAAGAGACACAGACATTTCAACTTTAAATCTTAACTAGTTTCTAATTTACAATGTAGACCTATTAAAGTCTTCAAAATTTGGAAAGTGGAGAGTCCATTGAAAACACGCAATTGATCATTTTGATTATGACAGAACGGAGATTTGGCCCCAAGGTCCCGGATTTGATTTCTCGCCAATCACCAATGGATGTTGTCCAATTGATAATGCCACCACGGTCTTAGCATGAAGTAATGTGAAAACGGTTCCAGAACAGAGCCAAATGTCCTCCTAGGATGTGAAGATGAGACAACAAAGACTCATTTTCTTAGGGTTTGAAAACTACTTAAGAACAAAAATTATCTCGCAAAAAAAAGGTTTGTGAAAGTACTATGTGATAATTATGCAAGGACTTTAAGAAATTTATCAATGATTTTTAGGGATGGACGAGATTGGATTTTTAGTTTCGAGACGAGACGAGACGAGATTTTTTATTTCTCATAAAATTTCGAGACGAGATCGAGACGGGATTTCCCTTCTCATACACAACGAGAAATGCACGTTCGGAATTGTTACCTGATTTTGTAACATTGTTAGATGACTGTTTAAATACAAAAATAATGATAATAGGCAAGAATATTTACAATCTTTTATTAAAAAACATCAGCATAATAAAATAAATCATAAAATAAAATATTAATTTTTATAAAATAGTTACTTGTTTTGACTTTTTTTATAGTAATAAAACATTCCTCACACTGCTAACACTTAACAAAACTTCTCAAATGTTATTAAAATAATTAAAGTAATATTTACATTTGAAGAATTAATTAAATAAGAACGCCTTCGCAAAGGAAACGCAACTACAACACGCTCCTGTATTGCGGGTATTGCATTGACTTTCTGCAGGCGTTTTTAAATTTTTTTTTTTTTTTTATTCTCGTCTCGATAAAAATCTCGGGCAAAAAGAAATCTCGTCTCGTGTAACGAGATTTAAAATTTCCCGAAAATTTCCCGAAATTTCGAGACTTGACCATCCCTAATGATTTTCAAGCTTCACAATTTAAAAAAATTACCTTAGCCTATTTTGATATTTACAGTTGTGTTTTTTTAGACATATCCAAAATAAAAACCAAATATCCTACTCACCGGATCAGAAGCCCATCTGTTGGGAATGGCAGGCCGTTGCTGGTCTACACACACGACTTTGCGCATGTCCTCAAAGCTGGGGTCGTTGGGGACTGCGTCGTAAAACGGGGGTTTGTAGTCTTCAACCACTCCATTACACAGAGTTCGGCGGCCGATCTCCCACAGAACGAGCCCTACAGCGTACATGTCTGCGCGGCGCAGCGCTTCAAAACACTGCATATTTATCCTGCAAACAAATACAAAAACTTATCAGTTTGAATGTATTTGTAGATTTTTTAGATTAAGCGTACCATTAGATGTGAAGGTGTTTGATTGATAAATGATTGTTTTTAATACATTTGTAAATTTGAATTTCATTTGTTTATTTAACAGTTTATGATAACTTGATGACTTTATTCTTGAATAAAATATTACCTTTGATTATGTTAAAGTTGTAACCAGTTTTAGAATAAAAACATAGTTAAATTGAGACACAGATTATCATTTGTTGATTGACATTGCTATTTGTCTAATACGCTACACAAACTTTGCCCTAGACACCAGTGACCAAATTGAATGTTTCCAAGTTTATTTCAATGTGTTGTAAAGAACTGTGTATCTGATAGTTTTTACTCACGTCTCATCCAACACCTCGGGAGCCATGTATCGCTTGGTGCCGACCCGTGGGTTTGGTGCCATGTCTAGAGCTCCAGTGGCCTGGGTGTGGGTCACGGCCAGACCAAAGTCAGCAATAACACAAGTGCCGTTGTTCTTCACCAGCACGTTCTTGCTCTTTATATCTCTGTGGGCGATTGCTGGTTTTCCCTGCAAAATAATCATTCAGGTTATCAATATTTTCTGTAACAATGTAGGCTATTACAACTTTGTTTTCTATTGTAGTGGATACAAGAAACCTGAACAATTAGGCATCTTTAATTTCTTTGAGAACTTGCAATCTATTTTTAAAAAATCCCGTGGTAAGTATGTTCATGAATATATTAGCCTTAACGATTTTATTTTAACTATTCATACTTACTTTCTGTATAATTCAATGGACATAATTCTGTATGTTTAATGAAACAGAGGGCAGCAACAAAAAAAATATTTTTTATTTAACAAACATAAAATATTTGCTTGACTACTAAACAAACCATTTAAATTACACCTAAAGACTCGGTGTAGGCTATTGTATTTTATAATTGTTTAGTTTTTATGAAAGATGGATTTCTACGTGATTTTAGTTCATTTGTAATTTTATTACATGATTTTAAACACACCTGTCAGACAATAATGTTCATTGAATCGGCCAACAGAGTATCCGTCTCTAGATAATTAAATGTAAACACCTAAATGATGTGTTTAATTAACCAAAATTGATTATAACATAATTTTGGAATCTATGTTAAGAAAAAATAAAACGATGGTTCCCATTCTCAGTTTTTCTTGCCATAACTACTTTCTTGATTAATTTTTCCGACAAAATGTAAAAAAAGTATTCACATTATTAATATTCGTACAAAGTTAAGTTTTTCCTAATTAGTGAAATCATAGGCAAGTACCTATAAGGCCACAGTACACACAATTATAGAACATTATAGACATTATAGAATTTCAGATTTCTTCCAAGGAAGAACTTTGTCAAGTGTGGACAAAAAAGTATACACTTGTGGTAAAGTGCACCAGGGGACAACATTTTTAATGTTTTATTTGTGTGTACTAAGGCTTACCTAGACTTTTTCTAATGTAAGCTAACTACTAACTCTTTACTCTAAAAATCACAACCCTAGCCAAGAGTCTTCCCTTTAAACAACTCAACCCATTTAAAAACTTTCAGTCTATTCCACACTATTAGTTCTGAAAACAGTAGACTATCAAGGATAACTAAATAACCTACAACAGCTAACACATTTTTACAAAGGCCTACCTGAGTTCCGAATATCTCCGAGTGCAGATGGACCAGTCCATTGATCATTGACAGACACAGTTTCATCATCTGGTGGTGAGTGAGTGTCGCGCGGTTGAGGTGGTCGTACAGAGAGCCGAGTGCATGGTAGTGAGTGATGAGCCATAGTTGTGTGCAAGAATTGCGGGACGTCATGTCAGACCCGATGTAGCCGAGGATGTTCTCGTGACGCAGCAGTACAGTGCTACAGACACAACGAGAATGATGGTTTAATTTTGCCAATAGATAGGGTTCCAAGCACTAAGTATACAGACCAATTTTAGTCTTTGAGAAAAACCAACTTAAATTGGTCTTCGACCTTTGAATTGGTGAAAATATTGACTTGTGTGTTGAATGCATAGGTGTTCAGTTGAATCGTAACCGCAGAAGGATTGCTTTTTTCACATTCAAAATGTCAGCCAGTATTTTCATCAGTTCAACATTCATACTCTTCCTTAGGTTTACAAGGCTGGTATTGAAATTGAATGAAGATGCTTGTTTATGGAGGCAAGGTTAGGACATGATGATTCATTTTTAGCTTACTTCTAAATAAATAAAAATTATGAACCATCATTCCGTGTTTTTCAGAGTGCAATTTTAAACTGGATAAATGTATAGGAACAGAAGCAGCACAACAGCAAGTTGACCCACAAATTACTAATGAAAAGAACACTGCAAAGCAATGATAAGAATAGGAGTTAGGTATGTATACACTTCAACACAAAATTTTCAATCCTCACGTATCCACTGCATTATGATCGTAACAGCAGATGAATAAAACCTCTCGTGATTCACTTTTAATCACACCCTGTCTCTTCAACCAACAGCAAAGTATCAGTGTGAATTCTAAAAATCAATTTCCCAAGCTTCCCTTGAAAACATAGTAACAATTCTACCCTAACACAAGGTGTTAAAAGTTGTATTCAAGCTAGCTAATTTTTCTTTTTGTGAAAGTTAAGGGTTTCATTTGCTTAAACATAATTTGCTGCTTTAAAAAAATAATAACATGTTGACACAACTGATGGTAACTATATAAAATAACAAATTTGCCTTATCATTTTTTTTAAGGCAAGTTACCTATAAATCTCTGTTTCTCTACTCCAAGACGCTTCATCACGGGAGAAGAATATCTTGACAGCGACATTCTCGCCATGCCAGATGCCTCGCCACACCTCACCGTATCGGCCCTTGCCTATACACTCCGCCAGAGAGATCTGCTTGGCCAGAGTACGCTGGATCAACAGCGGCAGACCCGAGCCTGAGCCTGAGGTTAGCGACTGCTCCAGATATTCCTACAGTTAAAGATTCATCATCAATCAAATGTATATTCAATGGGGTTCACACAGGTTACAAAATAAAGTTCCAGGACATTATGGTGAGTTTCATGATATTCAAAGTATAAGCACTAATAAATCTCTTTTTTTCAGATCGTAAGGAAATGCCCAGCCATGAAAGGCTGATGACAATAATAATTGGATCTCAGCCATCAATAAACCTGATGGTCTACCATACAAATAATAGAGCCTACCAAGAAACTTTAACGTTCTCTCTCATTAGTTCTAGACCTATCCAGGTCTCAAAATGTCACGACGCAGATGTAAGCTGTTTTTGTACAGTTATACTTGCACGTGTGTATCGTTGGTAGTGAAGGTTTTTTTATGTCCCTAAAAATCAATAGGCCTATGTCAGAAATCATTGTTGAAAATGTTAGTGGAAAATTTGCAGTGTTTCAATTAACTTTGCTTTTAAACTTTGTTCTTTTGTTATACATGTAAAGTTTATCCATTTTACGTTTAATTGGGGGAACAATCCTTTACTTCATCCACTGATATTTGATATGATTAAAGATCTTTATACAACAGAAATTTCACAGCACATTACAAGAGGAACTGACAAAAACCAACTTCTAAGCCTAATTACCCGCAGCGTGGTGTCCCCAGCAGCAGTGGCCCGCAGCATGTCATCACTGGGGCAGTAACTCTCTGGGTCCGAGTGGAGCGACCGGGCCGCCATGAGCCGCTTGCGGTGACGTCTACGCATCAACAGAATCACCACTGAGCCGAGAGTGCCCAACACCACGATGGGGCCCAGTATTGCCAACGTCAACTTCCAAATGTACACCGAGTGGTCGGAATAGACTGGCACCTCATCTGTAAATACACGTTTGTGAGTTAATTGGTTGTACTGCAACACTGCTTGCTAACTATCTACTAAAACTAAATATAGTTTGTTTTATCCATGGGTTGTACTATCCAAAGGATTATCTCAACCTAGATATAGCCAGAAAAAAAATATCTTTAGGCCTAAGCTTTAATAACTGTTGGCATTTTCTATTATAGCATGAACAGTGTTGTAGGTGCTGAATCTCTAGCAGCTTTGACTATCATCAGAACTAGATCATTCCATTCTCATGTAAAAGTTGTGGTCCTTTTAATAATGAAAGTGGACGTAGTTGGGTTGAGCCACCGGCAGATTAATGTCAATTATCGATTTCTGTTGAACCTCCTCACTTCATAGCAAGCCTCTAGCTTAAAAAACGCTCAGGTGCTATAAAAACTATACTATCTTTTATCTTACCATAGTTTATAAAAATATCAATGAACAAGAGAGGAATTCCTACAGATGCACTTAATGAGTGATTCAGCTACCTACATAATAATTAAAAACATTACTACAGCTGGTCCATATAGGTGACATGTATACTTCAATATACAAATGTCAATGGTAGTAATAAGAGTTAGCCTAACGTCCAACCTGGATATATGATTGGTGGCAGGAGAGGAAAGCTGCCGTTGTTGCAGAAGTCGCCGACACAACAGTCAATGGCATACTGTCCGCCAGTGTGACGCTTGGTGTGTCCGTGATGGTGATGATGTTGAGTAGAACAGTACAGAGGTACCTGCTCTTGCTGTGTCGTACAGCCGCGAGATACTCGCTCCTGGCCATTAGAGTCTCGCACTCGGGACTTCCAGCACTGTATAAATGAAGTAGACATAGATTTTGAGGAAACAATTTTCTATATGCATCTACATTGAACTATCAGTAAAAATAAATTTTAACTTTAACACATAACCTCATGAAATCCGGGTTTTGCTAGATCTCATAAGCCCACACATCAGTTGACTCACTATTGATTGCTGCAGAGATGTCATTTAGAGTTTCGAACCACAAAATATAGGCTACCGGTACCAAATAAAAGAGTATAATTTTCCAAACGTGCCAATACCAAACAAGACATCATTTCTTCTTCTACGATTATATTTTTAGCACTGAAAATTCAAACTAATATTTGCATAATCACATAACCTTATTTATGAGATCTACCTACCTACATAGAAACTGATGATTAATTTAGGATCATCGGGATTTCGGATTAGGATACAGTATTTTTGGCTTTAACGCCTGATTTTCATCTTTACTGTTTTCCATATAAAAAGGTAGAACATGACGCTTTAAAAAGATCACATATACATCACAACGGGAAATTCATGCAGGATAAAACAGGATTTTTCATTATAAAATAGGATTTTTTTACCTACTAAGCGGGATTTTTGTTTTAGGCATGTGGAAACACTGATTAAGATGTGGATTAAGTGATGTTCCATTTAGCCCACATAACATAGTTTGATATAGGCTAGCCTAGTTGAAATGTACCTATAAGAAATTTTCCTTTGATAATGAATTAGGTTAAATAACAGTGGTGCGAATAAGAAATGCTAATAACTTAAATCTATACAGCATCAACAACCTTCAGTTGTTCACGTATTTAAGTAGGCCTAGTCCTGTTTTAGCCTTGTAATATTGTCAATTATCCCCCCCCCCCCTCCCCGAAGTAACAGAATGAGAGACATGGCCCAGTTGAGGAGAGTTGCAACCTACTGTTAATACCTACTGCATTAAGGTTGCTGAGCAGTATTAAGATTACCTGTAAAGCGTTGTAACAGGGTGGTCCCTCTCGACAATCTGGCGGCTCACAAGAATAACATTTATACTTTTTCACGGGAATCTTAGAATATGCTTTAATCATCTGATCGTGGAGTTTATTGCGTAGGTCTATGTCTCCTGTGTCATCCTGCAGATTCTCCTCCGGAGAGTCTGCTTCATTTTCTATCAGATGATTTTGTGGAAGACCCAAGTCACCTGAAAAAATGTGGTAACGTAAAATATTTAGCAGCAAATTGTGAGGTAAAAGAACCTTCTGCATGTTCTATAGGCTACCTCAAAATTGTCTTTGGGTCAAGAGGTGTTTTGTTTTGAGCAATTAGCTCCTAGCATATATTCATCTCGTTAACTTGAGTATCATAGCCCTGATTTCCTGGTTATTCCTAAGTAATTAGGTTACTTGCAAAAATGCTGATAGGCCTATTGATCAACAAATAAATTAACAAACGTTAACAAACATACCTACCATGTAAAAACCAACAAGCCTATTCAAATTAACTTAGTAGGCCTAGGTTACTTAGGCCTATGTAGCTTCCACCAGGTTCACACGAGCGTAAGTTATGGCCACAGCGGTCGAGCCGCGATCTAGTTTGGTGTCACACACTATCGCCAGGCCCCGCTTCTAAGCCAAGTGTCATAGCAGTACATGTAGCCACATGAGAAGTTTCACATTGATAAACTTAATAACAAATTGAAACATATCGGCTGACAACTACGATAAGAATACAGTATATAAATATTGTTCAGTATCAACAAACAATTTTAAAATACATTATATTGAAATGAAACTGTTCTAAACTAACCTAGGCTAACTAACCAAACTTGCTGTAACATTTCAAAATTGTGTTTGATAGCCTATTCCCCATAAGTCTTTTCTGTTAATGTATCAAACGGAATATTGAAACGGTAACTTAGCCTAAGTTACATCAAGTTTGGTAAGCTATGTTTGGTTCTAGATTAGAATAGTGTCATTTCCTAAACCAATATATATAGGCTAGGTAGGCTATCTATTATTTTTGCCTAAACAAGGTTAATTCTTAACTTAATTTGTAAAAAATGCGTTTGAACTTTGAAGATATTAAAACACCGTGAGGAATATTCAAATAAGCCCTAATCGAAACCGCCATGCCACAATGTTTTTGTAGTGTTGTAAATAGGCGATTAGCTTTGTATAAATTTGTATACCTATATAAGAATAGTAATTAATTGACGCAATCTATCTGATAATGTCGGTCAAGGATGAAGACATCAAGTATCAAGTAAACTAATTAAGTGCCTATCAAGTAAGTAACAGAAGGGATACGGATCGTGAAGTAAAACAAAAATATCGATATAGGCCTATCGAAAAAAAATCATCGATAACTTAATAATGAATGTTCCCTTTAACCCCTTAACCGCCGTCTAAGTAGCCTAGTCAAAATCCGCCATTGCCACTTATTTTTGCCGTTTTTTGACGATTTTTACTTGTGATTTAAAAAATTGTACCAGTTGTTTTTTTTAAAGAAAATAGTTATCAATATTGTTTGTAGACATCTTCAAAAACATTAAGCTTTAACGATACTAAAATTTGAGATTGGGGGGGGGGTGGGGTTCGGGGGTTTCTTGAGTTAGGCCTATAATAAAAATTAGGCCTACAATAAAGTCTACAACTCTAATAAATCGTCATCCTCAAGCATGTCACCAGCCATTACGACTAATATTTACTACTCATTCAACACTAGGCTACCAAGTAAATAACCACCAAAAATCACAATTATAATGACATGCATAATGTACGTTACAAGCATTTACGTAAGCTTCCGCAAGCACGAGTTTTACTGAAACTACGAACGGAACGGATCGGGACCATTACTGACCTATAATACCACTAAAATCCACCAGATTGCAGCACTAGTCAAGCAGCACTGTCAACAACTTGTTTACGTACGTATATCAGAGATAAGGCGGGAAGTGAGCTGTTAAAAATCAAACACAACAGCTGATTACGTCAACACGAGATAACTCGTACGTGGCGGTTGCTCTGAAAACTAGTATCGCCCGGCATATCTCGTGCGTGGCGGTTAAGGGGTTAACAGGAAAGTAAACTTATCCTATTTTCATCCCACACTGTACGGTAAATAAAACATGTGGTTGGAATTTCTTCCATTTTTTTTATTTTCCGTTTATTTCCCAATATTTTTGTTATTTTGGGTAAAAATTTGTTATCAGCATGGCAACCCATAAGGCCCATGTTAATGTTTTATATCTTTAAAATTCTTTTGATAGGCTATGCTTATTTTTGGCCTATTTTAATTTAATATATAGGCCTAAAGCGATTCTGCACATCTTGGCTAACTTACTGGAAATATCTTTCTAAGTTACGTAGCCTATGCAGTAACTTTAAAAAGTTAGGTAGGCCTAGCCTATGCAAAGGATTCTCCCTGTGATGCACACAAGCTGAGAAAAAGTTTTTGAGAAACATGCTTGCCTATTAATATATAGGATGGATAAATGAATGACTAAACTAAAGCCTAGGATGAAGTTAATATGATGACTTTGTAAGGCAATGAGCCTAGGCTAGACTAACTTCAGTCAAGGTAAAAATAAATCATTTGAAAAGGCTGAATCTCAATCAAAGGTTCAGTTGTAAGGTTCAGTTTGTAGAACCTGAAATGTATTCATAGGGCGAAAATTGGGTTGTAGCCTATAGCCTATTACAATGTGTTGTAAATTAGAAATTGTTTAGGCCTATTTAATTTACTTAGCCTATCCTACAAGAAAGTTTATGCCCAGACACAAAAGTAGACTATGACGTACACAATAACGAAACTAAAGTTATTCGCATCTTTGTACATAACTAATAGGTGTTAGGGATTAGAACAAAATTATTTAGTGCAATACTTACAAACAATTCCTCGGATAAATATCAATAAATTAAATAATAACAAGACCGACCCAGCAAGAGCCATTTTCTAATACTTTACATTTTTTTAAGGTTTTATTTCTGTCTGAATCTGAATCTTTTTTCGCCCATCGGTATCGCTGCCACAAAAACAGTGTGACCACCAACAAGCCACAAATAATCTTAGGCCAGGCGCACACAGGCGATTTTGAGTCGCGCAACAGTTGCCCGACTAAAATGTTCAACATTGTTTTAAATTGGAGTGCGCACACGAAGGAAACAGTCTGGGGACAGTCGCGCAACTGTTGCAACCGATTCCCGGACCCAATTTGCCAGCGACTGCTCTGCGACTGAATTGTTGCGGGACTATCGCTCCAGGTTTGGTATCCATTGAAACGAGTGTAGATGCGCACACATGCAACTAAATAGTCGCTGTGTCGCTCAGTCTCACCCCAGGAGTTCAACTACTCGTGGCCAGAACTGTCACTAGTGTTTGCTCTCTTGTTGTGTGAAGTTTTTAGAAAATTACAAGTATGAGTGTGCGTGATGAGGATGTCGAACAATCAATTGATGAAGTTGAGAAGACGCCGACTATATTTAAAGTCATTGAAACTGTCCTTTCACAAGTCGCTCACTATATATGGGATGAACCCAGTATCTTCTCTTTTCTTTCGCGCGCGAAACTTCAGCAACAAAGCACATACTACGGCTGTATCATTTAAATCCATTCGGAACGCTGTAACGAATGTATTTCCAACACGTCTCAAGACTATATCCGCGACTAAAAAGTTGCCTGTGTGCGCACTCCAGCTCAACTGTCGCTAGACTTCAGAGTCTCCGAGAGAGTTGCGCAACAGTCCCCCGATTAGTCGGGCAACTGTTGCCCAACTCAAAATCGCCTGTGTGCGCCTGGCCTTACTAATATTATAAACTAGGTGAAACCCGTCGAAATCGACGGTTACTTTCCAGGCTTACGATAATTAATCTAACTGCGATAAATTGAGTGAAATTATACATATTTTGAGCATTTAGCATTGTTTGAATATTAATGAGTGTAAAAACAATAATGCCATTAATTGCGTTAGTTAGTAAATATTTTTGATCATTCCACGAATAAAATATTTCCCATACTGTACGTTATCGGAGTTGTGAGTATGCTATCTGGTATCTCTTCCTTTGGAAAAACCTTTAAATAGGTACCTAGTATTGAAATCGTTTTGGCGGATCTTTTGTAGTTAAACACTCCCGTGATTTCATCAGTGTTATGCAAATTAATCTATGATTTTATTTGAAAAAAAAAAATCTCTTTGTTGGGAAGACACGTTCTAACTTCAAAGGGAGGTACATCTGTTACAGTGCAAGTTTGATTTTTCCTTCGTCACGTCGCGTAAGTTCATATCGTACTTCTGTGCCAATGAATAACCCTCTAGCACAGTTTTAAGAAATTGGTTGTGAGGTTACTGTTAAAGCTGGCATTCCTTGACATGGGGGATGTCAGTTAGTTGTCTCAGCCTTATCAGTTACATCAAGTTGTCAATATAATCTCTCTACGGAATGTTAGGTGTAGTTGAATATACTTTAAGTGAAGTTGGCTTTTATTATTGAACTGTTAGGGGCCTCCTCATTCATATGCTAAAAATAATGTAAATTGGCTGTTACGTAAATATTGATGTTTACATGAATTGTTAATCAACGTATCTTATAAATGATAATGTGATCTAGTTTAAAAGGATGATCTTTCAGTCATGACAATAGCTGCTTAGATAGTATTTACTCATTGGGCCATTTTTACAGCCAAAATGTCGTGTTATTTTCAATAATGTTACCAACCCAGTGGGCCATGGTCCGTAATATAGGCCACTGTGAAAAAATATAAGGAAAATAAGGTGTTAAAAAGGCAGACACCAACTCGTAAAATAGATTTAAGATGATCAATAAGAAATAATTGTAAGAGTTATTGTGATAAAAGGATTTTCCACTGATTTCGTAAAATAACTTTATATTGCAAAACATGACATGATACAAAAGACAATCAATTTTAAAATAAGAAAATAACATTGCAAATACTTCTTTTGGACAATTCAGTAACTCCCAATAAATGTGTGTTGTTTAAAATACAATTTTAAAATTACCAGCTGTTTTATTAAAAAGTATTATCCACCTGACCAAAATGTAAACAAATCTGTGGAGGGATCTTTAAAGGCTTCTGGGGCAGAGCCCTAGGCTAATTTACTTCGTTTTTCTTTTGATAACTCATCTACAGACCAAAGACCTTTCTTTGGACACCTCTACCAAGTTTCTACGCCCAGCCGTTCTCTCAAATTAGAGGAGGCAAAGTTTCCAATTAAATATTTTGATTCCCCCATGTTAATCTTATGGGAGAAAACCTAACTTTGATGGAAGATCCTGCCCAAACTAATAAAGATATAAAAAAACGAAAAACACTTTGCAAAACTACAGATCAGGGCAATTCTTTTGACACCTTAATCATCAAAATCGGTCCAAAAATGAGGGAGGAGTTCTGTTCACAAAAATCGGCTTAGCGTATTACTTCGTTTTTCTTTTGATAACTCATCTACAGACCAAAGACCTTTCTTTGGACACCTCTACCAAGTTTCTACGCCCAGCCGTTCTCTCAAATTAGAGGAGGCAAAGTTTCCAATTAAATATTTTGATTCCCCCATGTTAATCTTATGGGAGAAAACCTAACTTTGATGGAAGATCCTGCCCAAACTAATAAAGATATAAAAAAAACGAAAAACACTTTGCAAAACTACAGATCAGGGCAATTCTTTTGACACCTTAATCATCAAAATCGGTCCAAAAATGAGGGAGGAGTTCTGTTCACAAAAATCGGCTTAGCGTATTATATATATAGATGTGAAAGTTTGTGTGTTTGTTTGTTTGTTTGAAGTTCAATCACGCATAAACCACTGGACGGATTGGGCTGAAATTTGGCATGATGATAGCTTACATTCCCGATTAACATATAGGCATATTCTTATCTCAAAAATCCTTTCGGGCTCCGCCCCAGTGGCTCTGTAATTCCCCATGTTAACCTTATGAGTATTCATATTTAAAGGGAATTAAAGAATTTAATCAGCTGTTTCAACTAAAAAAGTTGGTTCTATGATATGGAAAAGCATTAAAAAGTTATAAGATTTACCAACAGGGTGCAGCACTATATTTTTTTGCATTTATGAAAACAGCTAATTTGAACTAAGCAGCAACAAAAAACTGTGATTCGCAATGAGAACTGTCAAAGTAGGATTGTTTACAGTTATGTATATGTTTTTCATTTCATGAATAATTTGTGATATTTTGCGAATTGATAATTTATTTTTCTCTATTGTTTAGGTAAAATGGTAGAACATTATGGCTATGGTAGATGTGTAATACTATAGAATACTGTAAATTTAAAGAAGCAAATTTTATCAAACTGTGTCCTCCACCCATTGCAATCGCAAAGCTTGAGTATAACTGCAATAAGCATTTTATACTTATATTCCAACCCCGTACGAAGGACGGGTACTGCTAGTATACTAATAATTTTGACTGAGATAGATATTATCATTGATTATATATTGTTAGAAGTACTGTATGTACGTACAATGAATACAATGAATTTATTTGGCCAATCAACAACATTGTTATATCCTCTACTGGCTGCCATTTGAAGATAAAATCATATGTTTTATTAATTTTTACGACCTTATTTATATTACTTTATTTTTTTTTGTCACAATTTTATTTACAATCTGTTCATTTTTTGAACATTTAGCAAATACAATAACAACTTTTAATAAAACGTTAGTTAATCTCTGTCCATTGACAGAGCTAACTTAAAAATATTTCAATGAAAAAAAAAATATGTAAATAAACAAGGGAAAATTAAATTGTTCAAACAAAACGTGTGCTTGGATCCAAAACATGAATCCTTTTTAGCCTGTATATACTGGTACTGTTGTCCAAGAGGTTTTAGAGCCAGGTGATTAGGGTGATTTTCAAGTTTCTTTAGATATTTTGCACTAAATTTGGTTATTTCCTCTTCAACCGTAGGAATTCCACTGTCCTTGTGAAGGATATTGTTTTATAACATACCACGGGGCTTGCAGAATGAACCTTAAAACTTTTGACTGAAATCGTTGGATGATGTTTATGTTCGACATACTGGACGTTCCCCACAGTTGGATTCCATAAGTCCAAATTGGCTTCAGGATTACTTTGTATAGTAATAATTTATTTGCAATGGTCAATTTTGATTTACTATTTAGGAGCCATTATTATTTGTCATGAGAGCCGAAGCCCCCTGACTGCATACCCGGTACCTATCCTTTAGGACATACCCGGGCCCCATGATGTAGGCCGAAGCTTACGCATCAGCCTTTAGCACATCATGGGCGGATGACTTAAGGTCATCCAGGCTCGCCGGCTGCCGAAGCAGACCCTTCGGAAGGAGGGTTGCCCCTCAATCCTAACCAGGGATTCCGGCTGCTTGTTTAAGCGTCACTCCACCTGGGTTCCACTAGGTCAGGACCTAGAGGTCCATGGTAGGGCGCCCCGACGCATTTAGTGCAAGCAACACTCGGGACCTATCTAATCCCTGACAGGCAGAACCCGCCATCAATAGCCAGGAGGAAGGGGACCGTCAGCACGCTGAACCCCAACCTCCCATTTACACCACTACCCGATCGAGGCCTTACCCATTGCTGGGAAACCAGAGATAACCAGAGCGATAGATCCCCAGATACCCCTGGCGGGCTCGGACCCAGCACCCGATCTACTTCGTTTGCCCGTCAGACCCAACATCACTGCCAGGCCATCAGGGTTTCCCAAAAAGAGGCAGGTATAGAAGTGGGACCCACCCGGATGAACCTATCCACCAGAGGTGGCGACACCCTTGACTCAATTGAGGTTCCGGGAAGAACCCCCCACACTCAAGATAACCATACCGTCCGTACTCAGAGACAGGGATTGGTTTGCATAAGTGCCTACAAACCGTTGCCCTCACACTGCGGAAAGTTACGTTGCCCTTGAGTGTCCCCGTGAGCTACGGGTACTTGCCCGTTTTCACCTCCAGGAAAGGTTACTTCCAAAGTCGAGGATTTGCCCACTGAATGCTGGTCGCACACAACAAGCAGGCCGAAGCCCAAAGAACCACAGACACAGGTAGGTTAGAGATTATGATGCACTTCCATCTCTCCTAGAGCTAAACACCCCTCCATCCTGGATAAAGGAATGTCACTGGGACCCAATGCCCAGTCGTCCATTTCTGTGGCCTACTTGAAAATGCCGATACCAACACGGAGCATTTACCTCCCCTCTGGGGGCTAGGTATTTCACCTCCCAGGACGAGGCTACTTCCAAAGTCGAGGATATGCCTCACAAAATGTCAGTCGTACACAACAGGTAGGACTCAGTCACAACCACAAGCTACAGGCAGGTGAAAGATCTATGAACTTAATCAACACTAGCAGAGCTGAACACCCCACCACCCTGAATGGAGGGAATGTCACTGGGTACTCTCACTTTGGGTACAACCCAAAGAGGCTGGCTTGTCCAGTCGTCCATAGCTTATGGTCTACCTGAAGTGCCGGTTCCAACACCGGGCAATTACCTCCCCTCTGGGAGAGCTAGGGTCCGCGTGGTCGCCCAGGCCACGAACCCACGCAAGCGTGGGCCCCCTGCGGTTATTTAGGAGCCAGGAAAGATTTTTAAATTTTAAATTTAGATACATTATTTTATTCCAGATATGGTTTTTCCATGTTAATCTTTTGTCAATCGTCATGCCGAGATATTTCACTTCGTGGGATTGTGGAATTTGGACATTATTTAAGGTTACAGGAGGACAAGTACCTAATCTGGTAGTGAAGGTCACATGAGTAGATTTGCTCTCATTCACTTTTATTTTCCATGTTTGCAACCATTCTTCTAAGTCATCTAGGGAATTTTGAAGATTAAGTGAAGCTACCACTGGATCAGGATGGGACGCTAAAATAGCTGTATCGTCAGCAAAAGTGGCCACAGAAGTATTCACATTTTCAGGTAAATCGGCTGTAAATAGCGTATATAGTACAGGTCCGAGAACGCTTCCTTGGGGAACGCCAGCTTGAATTGGGTACAATTTTGTAATGCTATCTCCAAATTTAACTCTGAAATTTATATTACTTGTTTACATTTAATCAGTTTTGTTCTCAACTATGTTAATAAACCATCTATTGTTTTTCATCTCTTTTATTGAGTAAAATCATCGGTGGGGCACACGGAAGATTCATCAGGTGCCGTTTGACACTTTGACGTCACTAACTGCTGACGTCACTAACTGCTGCGTCTGAAGAACAATTTTATAATTTGTCTATTATTAAATTAAACTGTCATAACCTAACCAAACGTGCTGATAGTGAAAAAAATCGAATGAAGGTTTACTAATCTAAAAATAGTTTTGTTAATAAAATAAAATTATAAATGCCAAAATTCAATTTTTTAATTTTTCAATTATAAAATTAAACTGTCATAACCTAACCAAACCAACCAAACTTGCTGATATGAAAAAAAGTTGACAAAAAGTTAGTGCTACCAGCGGGATTCGAACACGGTACATTAGGATTATCAGCCCGACACGCTATCCCGACGCTATCCACTACACCACCGAGACCGATGGCTCTAAGGCCCTGTACACATATGAGGGTGGCAGCCGCCGCGGTTGCTATTTCGCGGGAACCGCGGCGGTTGAAAGTGCAAAGGAGCAAATGGGACCGATCACATGCAACCGCCCACTTCCAGTCAACCGCAACTAACCGCGGCGATCGTAGATTTCCCTTCGACCGCCGCGGCTCCCATGCGGTTGAAGTTACTAGAGTTGGCTTGAGAGCGTACACATGAGGGCGGTAGCCGCCGCGGTTGACTGCAGTTGCTACTACAGTCACAGAAAACGTACTAGTACGTTTTCTGTGCTACAGTATATAGGATCACAGACATCTGCGCGCTTGCCCTGTGGACATCGCTCTCTGTGTTGGTGAAGTGTGTAGCTGTGGCTGGAGTTGATGTAGTGCTCGTAGTGTAAGTTTAAATGGCCATGCGTGCTGCTGTGGAACCAGAAAAATGTGACACTGATCTGTTCATTACAGAAATACAAAAAGAAGATACGTTTAGGAAATAAACTAAAAAAGATTGCGTAGCAAGAGTTAGTTGAGTTTTTTGCTGAAAAGATTTGTCAAGCGTTACGCGTTTAAAAGAAAAATAATTGGGTAAATCCAGTACTGGCTGTCGAGCGACGGTCAATTCACACCACAACCGCAGCGTAACCGCGGCTTCAGCCGCTGCCATGTGTACGGTCCTAGGCGGCCGCCGCTGCGGCCACCGCGGCGGCTGCCGACCTCATGTGTACAGGGCCTAAACCGTATCGTTGCGGTAATGGTGTTCCCTCAAAGTGACGTCAGCAGTTATTGACGACAAACGGCACCTGAGAAATCTTCCGTGTGCCGTTTTGCTGCTCCAGTGCTCCTACTGCACTGCTCCAGTTTCCAGTCTGCTCCTGCTCCTGCTGTCGCTGTCAGATCTAACTAGAGATGTGCCAAGCAGTTACTTGGCCGAAACAGCTGCAGCTAGTTCCAAGGTCGCCGTGGAACTCGTTCCAAAAGCAGTTCCAGCTGCAGCTAGTTTTGCCCGCTGCAGCTGGTTTTCCCGTTGCAGCGGAGCTATGGCTGTGGAACGAGGCAAAAGGGCGGATGAACAAAATCTCAATTTATTACCATAATTTGAGACGGATTAGTTTAAGCTGTTCTTGAATTAGAATATTGTTTTAAATAATGCAAAATAGCGACTGTAAAGAAATCAATATCGTGTTTTGGAAAGTAATTAAGTATTAATTATCAAGTAATTGATTATTTTAGTTTGTCTATCTAGGGTCTAAAAATAATACGTGACAAGGCCGGTATAAATTATTTTAGAGGTTCTTCATATTATGCATTTATTATTCATATTATACATTTTTTTATTGTTAAAATAATATTATTCAAACACCTCTTACACTAACTCTTAATATAAAATTCTAAAGTTAATAGCGAAAAAATCCTGAATTAAGTTAAACACAAACAATTATCACGATACTGATTACTGAGGAAGAGATAATTAAATTTGTATATATTATGAGCACGACTTAACTGGGACTGATGTACTTTTATTTAATTCCTGCCTGAAAAAAATAAAAAACAGGAAATGAATTTCTATTAAGGCATGTCAACCATATCCGCTAATCAAACCTTTGTAGATTAGACCAAATAAGTCAAAACGCATCAGTTGCACAGGCTAGAACTTCATGTTTAGTGAGAGTATTAATAAACCAGCTGCAGCTGTTTTGTTGTAACTAACTGTATGTGTTTTACAAATCCAGTTACTCCGGAACTATCTTTAGAAATTTACAAAAAGGCTGCAGCTGTTTGTGCGGAACTACATTCAAATCGTTCCACCGAGCTGCAGCTGAAAAAGTAGTTCCAGTGGAACTGGAACTGGATTGTGGTTCCGCTTGGAACGGTGGAACGAGTTCCACTCTCGGAACGGTGGATAAATGTAGTTCCAGCTGCAGCGACACATCTCTAGACAGTGTTCTCAGACGTACGATAATTATCGTTTTGTACGATAATTTAGCCTCCCGTACGATGTACGATACGTCACCGTACGATAATGCTATTTGTACGATAATTTGGGCAATTGAATAGTACTCTTTTACAAAATTGGTTTGGGAGGTTATACCCAAAAATTTGGAAACATTTTTGCTGTCTTAAATCAAAACTCAGTATTTATTAGAGATGGGATATAAAAATCAATACAAAAAAAATCAATCTTATGAAAACTATAAGTTAACTGTTAGTATGAATAAAATTAAAACGAAACCATTTCCATGAAATGTGCTTCTAAACTGCTTGAATGCTTCTGCTTCGCTTCTTCTGCTTCTCCTACACCACGAGAAAGTCTGTTACCATAAGAACAGACCTTCCGTACATAATCTCGCCCATTTGGCGAATTACCACGCCATCGATCTCTATTTTAGAGATCGATGGTGCACGGGTGCACGCACGGCCGCCTTTAACTCCAGGCCTCGGCCTTCAAAGTGGCAACATCACAAGAGGTGTTGTAACAGCTGTTTTGTTTGGAAGTGAAGCAGCTAATGGTATTTGTGTATTAACGAAATATTGGTTACTGGACTATGACAATATTGACTCCGCTTAAAATGTACATAATAGATTTTTAATTCATATTGTTTCGGTTTTCAATTCTGTATGTCTTTTTTTCAATATTTTAATAAATTTATGTTTATAAATTTAAATTGAAATCAATAAAGTGCGAATTAATGAGCTGATATCACCTGTCTGCCATGTTATCTTATGGGACGTCTGTCACTGAACAACATACCACTTGTGGAGATGCCAATTCTACCAGGCCGCGGCCTGTAGTTAAAGGTGGCCGTGAGTGCATGGTGGAAGGAAAATACTGGTGTAGTGTTTGTGTTGAGGTTGAGAAATATTCACATAATATCAGTTACCTACTATGATTACAACGTGCAAAACTAAAAATAATATGGTTTTATGGCGATTTTGAGATTTATAATAAAAAAATATATAAGTCTATTAGGTATTTCAATACTCAAGCCAGTTACGATTGTTATTTAAAATTGTACGATAATTTTTCGTGAAATACGATAATTTAGGACCGCGTGTACGATATTTGACTACGGCCAATCTGGGAACACTGTCTCTAGATCTAACTGAAATTATTTTGAGGTTATGTTTTCCATTGTACTTTTATTCGAAGGCTGTTTTGTTTATTTTTATTTTACTTTTAGAACCGTTATTGTCAATTAAACTTTTGTTGAACCATAAAATGATTATTTTTCTACATAACAATGGAATGAGAAAATATCGCTTGTTTTCAAAAATTAGTTATTCACATACCGGTAGTAGGCCTAATCATATTGTGATAAGTACTAAACCTAATGCTTACAGTTTGCAAAAGTTAAGCAAATTTAAATTACATAACAAAGAGAAGGATGAGACTGTTAAAAATAAAATTGTTTATAACTCAGTTATAAAGACAAACAATACATTTTACGGCAACAGGAAACAACAAATTGAAGAAGATGAAAACCTAACCAATTATAAACTAAACGGTGCTCCAGTCTTGGCGCTGAAGTATTTTACAAAAGACTACATAAGCACAACTCTTGCTAACAATGAAACTTTCCCTTCCAGACAAAAAGATTCTCTTTCGGAAAGAGAAATAAACCAAGAAATTAACTTTCCTTATAAAAAACATGATCATGTGGAAATAGACTCTAATTATGCCAGTACCAATGATGACATTGATAAGGATGACTTTGACAGTGATACATGTTCATCATTTAATGAAATCAAAGATATCTCATGTAAGTAGTTTAATAAATTCTTAATAAGTTTAGATCATGTTTTTAATTAGTCTGGTGCTGAAAATAGGTCTGTTGTGGCTGTGCTACTATTTGATTCACATAAGTTAACTTACTGTAGGTATCACGATTGTCAGGATTGCGCCATATATCATCGTGACAATAATTTAATCAGGGAAGAACTAAATTAAATAAGACTTTATTTAAACATGTCTTTTGTAAGAAGTCCTGACCATCGTGGCTCAGTGGCTGGTTTTACAACTGTTCCAGGTTTTTCCAATCCAGATATCCAAATGCTATAGGACTCCAGATTTCAAACTTCCAAGAGATTTCCCACCATGCCTGGAGTCATAATTTCTCTTGTACTATTCTTTGTAATTTCTCTCCCTTTGTTTCAAGTCACTCAAATCTGCCTTTGATCCCATTTTTAACTCAATTCCAAGCTCCTTTCATTTTACCTAAACCACTGAAAAAGGCTGGATATTTTTGTACCAGCTGGTCGAAGTCGAAGAAACACTTTGGAAAACTTGTAGAATGTTAAGTTTTTCAATGGCTGGTTTATCTAGGAGCGGTGTTTTACAATTTTCCGCTACCTACATAAAAACGCTATCCAAACACGATTTGTTCTTATAGTCTAACCTTACATTACCATCCCTCCTACAGTTAAGAGAGTCCCATCTGGTCCTGAGAGTCTTTTACAGATATGTTGAAGTTAGCACTCCAATCATAGGGGTTGAAGGTAAAATTGTCTGGAGGCGTGACATGGATTTTATTTGTTTGAAGTGGGTTCTCTTCAGTTTCCTGTTGGAGTTGCAGAGGCTGCAGTGGAGATAGCAAAATGCACCCTAAAGAAAAAGAAGACCCTTACCTGGCACTCTTGTCATACTGTAACACTATCGAACACGTATAGCCCTGCACAACTACTAGAGGACAACTCAAGATACAAGACTAGACACGGGCGTGGCGTGAAGTACATCCTCCGAGAAACTCAATCTTTAAAAAGGGAGGGGGATGTTTCATAAACACTACAAATAAAACATGTGTTTTATTTAGGATATTATTATCAGATGTAAACAAATATTGTTATTGTTTTTGACTTCTTACAAAATACATGTTTAAATAAAGTCTTATTTAATTTAGTTCTTTCCTGATCAAATTTTATTGTCACGACAACTATCACAAAAAACAAGCCAACAACAACCAAGCTGTGTGTGTCCAAAAAAACAAGCTGTTTGGATTACAGTTGCTATAGCTAACAATAAGTCGTTCCATCTGTTTGACTTAATAAAGTTTGTGTATTCAACAGAAATCAGTAATTTATATCAGCACAATCTGTCGGGAGCTCACATCAAATACGTTGATTAAAAAAAAAAAATGGCAACAACCTTAACATGGGGATGGGATGTCTAGTTGTATAGCCTATAGTCAAAGCGTCAAGAACATCTAAAACTTATATTATAAGTTACTATATCAAACACACTTTGGAAAAGGACAAGATTTAAAAAAAAATTGTTCCCAGGACCATTATATGGCAATGTGTAACAACCAACAGTCAATAGGCCAATGCAATTGAATTTACGTGACGTAGCACCATATTTTGGCCGTTAGGCTAAATTCTCAAATAATTGTATTACTGTAGTTGTTTATAAGAGGGCTGTAATAAATTAGCAATTCTAAGTTAAATAGGCTAATACTTTGGTTTGTAAATCTTGTGTTTTTTTGTATTTTTGTAAATTTTTGTTGTGAGGTTAACATTTATATTTTCCAGCTCTAAATAGTCTGGCTACAATGTACCTTTATGTAAATGCATAACTGATATTATTGATTTCACATTTCCTCAATAAGGTAGCAGACATAAGAAGACTTGGATGCATGATTACAACAAATTTGCAGAAGTGTCAGTTAGGCAGGAAGATGAGGAAGAAACTGACGATGAAGATGAAAGAACAGATATAAACTACGGCTCTGCTGACCCCAGCATTCCTACCAGCTCCGTTCCTTGTGGGGGTTGCGGTGCTCATTTACATTGTAAGGTAGGTTGAACAGTTTAGAGGCCTTGTCCAACAATATCGGAGAGTTTCATTAGGAAAAGCAGCTAGCTTATCCATATTTTTACCTCCTGGATTGATACAACTCATCTCCCAAAGCTCCTAAGCTCTACTCATTTAAGTACTCATTCAATTTAAATTACTTTAAATGGTTAAGCAACAAAGATATTTTTCTAGATTCTTAAAGGTGTATATTTGTTGCGAGACAGGATCCAGCCATCCCAGGTTACCTGCCTAAGGAGATATTCACTGGATTGAAGCCACAGCAGTTACGAGCAGTTGTGTGTCAAAGGTGTCACTTCCTTCAACAGTACAACACAGCGTTGTCAGTTACTGTAGACCCAGACACATACCCGAAACTGCTGTCCAAGATCAAGGGAGAGAAAGCAATGGTTATTTTGGTGGTTGACATGACAGACTTCCCCTGCAGTATTTGGCCTGGAATACTTGACATAGTTGGTGAGTGTGCTTAGCAAACAAAAACTTTTAACTATGCATTTCTTCTTGCAAAATAACTCAAGTGTTGATATTTTTATATTTTGTGCAAGAAAAACCCATTAATGAATTTATTTTTACAGCTTTTATTCCATTGTCTTGTCAGTGGCATTTTGTAAGGAAGAATATATAACGCTTTAAAGGGAAAGCATTCCGAAACTTCTCAATTTTTTGGATATGCTGAGAATTGAACCCGTCCTTACAGGGATGTCCAAGATGCTAACTACTAGGCTAACAACAAATCCAATATAGGGTAGCCTGTGTCTTATATGAATTTTAACCATTGTGCTTCTCTTAAGCCAAAGATTTTGATAACTAGGCCAACGTAGTAGACTGGGACGGTGGCATTGTCCTGTAATCTAGCCTCTAGGAGGTCACAAATTGTGGATATTTATAGGCATGCACTGTATATGCGATACTCCCTGGTGTGGATTAACATACGCACTTATAAGTACTACGATTATCCGCAGTACTATCCTGATAATTAGACTAATTTGGATTTAAAATACGAAGTGACTATTCGCACGTCAAAATGACGTCGCAACCCGTTCCTGTTCCATTCCAGTTCCAGTATTGTATTGCAAAATAATGCAAAGGGAAAAGTTACTTATAGAAGCAATTTTGAATAACTTACTTTAGGCCTACTCACTCTCATTAAAATTCGTTGGAGATGGAGGCTCCTTTAACATTTTGCTATTTTGAAGCTTTAAAAAAATGTATAGCAAAAAAATAAAAATACGAGCATATTAAGAATTGAACGTTCTAGACTAGAACAGTTGATGGAGCGCGAAAGCCATTTCTGCTATCAAAAGGAATTTTTGAAACGTTACAGAATGTTTTGTCAGGTTAGTTAAGAACAGTTTCATTTCAGAATTCTGCTATCAAACGGAATTTTGAAATGTTGCAGCAAGTTTGGTTAGTTTAGAACCGTTTCATTCTATAATCAATATATAGTTGCGGGCAGATAACATGAAGTTGATTCCATCCATTTCGGCTAATGAGGTTTAGAGGTACTGGTACTACCGTTCCTAATACTAGGTTTTCTTTGTATGAAACCTGTTCCCAAGCAGTTATAAAAGTGACTGGATTAGGAACGTAAAGTGGCGTAATTTGGAACAGACATGCGGGGTAGCGGCGCACGTCTGACGTGCGAATAGCCTCTGCCTTTAAAATACGTAGACTCCTACTGTATAGACCAATTATCAAACGAGAAAAGTAGGTGGCCACGTGATATATGTTTATAAGTTTATTTACCTCACCAAAACTATCAGAATTTTCTTTTATGCGTATGTAAACCAGCTGTTCTGAATTATGTACTTTTTTGCGCTTTTAATGGATAACCGTCCAAACCCATTAAAGTTTTGTAGATGTGTCGGCAATTGAACCCACCCCTCAATGTTACTCACTAAGGGTCAGCTAGTTGTACATTAAACATCAACTTCCTCAGAATGTTAATGTCTGCCAGGTCGCAGGCGTCCCTTGGTAGTGGTGGGTAACAAGGTAGATCTGCTGCAAGATTGGTCCAGAGGCATGCTACAGAAGGCCAAGCAAGCTCTACTCGCCCAGCTGCCTCCCAAGGCCAACATTCTACACACGGCCCTCGTCAGTGCCAAGACAGGCTTCGGCATAGAGGACCTCGTCACTGCACTCTACAACATCTGGCAGTATAGAGGTTAGATATTTTTACGTTTTACTTTATATCTCACAAGAAAATTGTAATCATTCGTGAAATCTTTGTTGTAATTTCATTAAAAATGCAGGGGTGTCGTACTCGAATGTAAGACACATTTTCATCAGTTTTCTTCAAACAGATTTTGTAGCGAGGATGTAGAATGTCCACTGTGAACTATTATTGTGTTCTTGAAGCAAGACAAGAATTAATTACATCTTAACAATTAATTTCCTGTACTTACTGAGGTTCTAGCCTGACTTTTTGTTCTTAAAATTAGCATCCCATAGGTTACAACAACCACACGTACGAGGAAGAAACCACTAAAAGATTGTGCTACAGTCTAAAATTAGGTACACTTAAATTTTAACACATTCGCTGCGGCTGGGTCCCCGGTGACGCATGAAGTGCCGTTGTGCTAGGCGGCTGCGTCTCCCGGACACAGCATGCAATGCATTGTTTGCCCAGTCAGTGTGGCTCAGGTTCTTGCCGGTTGGTTCGCGTTATTGTGTCTCTAATACCAGTCTATAATTGTAGTGTAGGTTGGCAGTAAATTTCCCCGTAAAATCCCCTTCTGGTAGGCTTAGAAATCAACTTGTTGTACAGTCTTTCTCCCTCCAATTGGCAATACAATGACCGGCTACGTTCCAAGAGCTGCTATCTGTGGTTATTTTATCAAAGTATGTTGACTGTTGACTCTCGTTGTAACGCAGCTCATTACCGCACGTTATTTGCTATTCGTCAGACCGAAATAATTGCCCGGCGATTGAATGGGTTCGTTCGACGCTGCGCCACACCAGGGCTACGAATGTGTTGACCCCTAGTTGTTGTTTCTTAGTGTAAAATAAAAGATGCTATATAGTGTACAATAAGTTGTTGTAGTGGTACAAAAGTCAGCATATTTGACATGAGTCACTAATTATCATCAGTGCTCTTAATTGTTGGCTCGACTCAAGTACACTAATTTTTACTAAAAATTAGGCTTCAATTTTAACATGGGGACAAATTTCTGTAAGAAAAGGGTCAGTCCTTATTAGGTACCGGTACTTACAGTTTTCAGTTGATAGATTTGTGTGCAGAAAAGTGTTTTGTGGTAAAAAATTTGTACAGTTTAGAGAGTTCCTAGAAGGTAGCAAACATTTGAAGAACAGGGCCAACAACAGATGTTCATCAGTTCCTATCGAGACAATGGTTGAATTTGATTAAACTTTGCTTGCTTCATTGGCCTCTTTCAAACATCCAAGGCTGACTGTAGTCCATGAGAGTCTCATAGAGATGTCCTCTATTACTTCTACGATCCTTCTTGTTCAGTCACACCGTGGTCGGAATGCAGAATTCTTTTAACTTCGGTCACTGCTTCAAATAAAGTAATTGGAACAGCAGAAAACTATTTAAAACCACCTCCGAACTCACTACGGTACTCCGTTTGAGTAAAATATCAATGTTCATCACTTTACCCCATTCTTGTCTATCAACTAGCAATGGACTTCAAATCAAATCAAATATATCATCATTCATAATATGTACATCTGTACAAAGAATGGTGTCAGGCTTATTTCTAAAAAATAAACATAAGTAAATTAAAATTAGCCTAGTTACAATTATACTATACCTAAATCTTACCAACACCATTTATTTTATTTAAAAATGCATTAACTAAATAACAATTATTGTTCTCAATCATGATAACTTGAATAGACGTTGATGATTGAGACCACAGAAATCACTGAGCAGGATCCATACTTGGTGTGAGTGTCAATTTTCTTTCAAGATGTTTTAGTGAATTTCCCATATAGGGAATAAGCAATTACCAGTACTCATGGTAAGACCTGGACCCGGGACCGTTTTAATTTTTCGTTTTTAGGTCCCTAGAGGCCAAAAACACCATCCGTTAAAATTCATATATATATGTGTCCGTTAGCGCGATAACTCGAGCAAAAATGATCCGATTTTTATTAAATTTGGTACAAACGTGCAAACATACAATTATTCGAAGGAGTTCGCGAACCAGCATAATCGGACTATGGGAACGGGGGTTTATGGAGGGTTTTATGGGGTAAAAATGGGCCTTTCCCATTTTCTATCCCAAAAACAAAAAATTTTGCAATTTCTTTCTAAACCGTTTTGTAGAGCTAAAAAAAAATTATTTAGTAGGGCCTATATTGAAGCGCTGTTGTATGCCTAAGATTCACGGAGAAAATTCAAAAATAGTGTAATTTAAAATTCCCATGTTATTTTTATGGAGAAAATGAAAACTGTTGTAGTTTACTTGTTTATGGATATAAAATATTGAAAAAAATTGGCAAATTTATTTATATACTATTGACGTAAGGACAAAAACACTTTTTAACTTCCCTGTAGCAGCAAACCTAAGAACTTGTTAAATCTAATGTTATTTAAATTTGAAATAAATTTGACATATTTATGAAATATTTGAGTAAAAATGTAATCACACAAGTTGAAATTCGCTTAGTCAGGTTTGCTGCGGCGGGGGTATTTTAAATGAATGTCAGCATTGGATGTTTCTTGTACCAGTAATCAAAAAACGTATCACTGACCTTACCTCTTCTATGGCGAGAGATTTGACTGTTTAAAGATTTATTTAAACAGACAACGAAATGTACATGACAGCTACAGAGCTGTTTCATTCTGTTCACAAATTATGCCAGTAAATCTGTTTTGAGCCTCGTGTCGTACAAGCCAACTACCGTACGGATTTATATGAAAAAAGTCCTTGCTTAATAAACCGCCCTCCTATTTAATCAATCTATCCCTTACTAGTGCATACATGTATCATTGAACCAACACAGTTTAGCCAAATATCCAGCCAACTTCCTGATAAAACTTACCTCGATAGTGCAGATATTGCTTAATAGATAATTCAAATATAAAAAGTTATAACAGTTAGTATTTTACAAACCTGTTGGAGTACTTCAGGTAGCCTTTTCTCAGTTTCTTGACTTCAGACTTCTCACTATGCTGTCATGACGATCATCTTCTAATGTTTTTTACTTCTATCGTCTCTTTTGCCAGTGTCTTGACTCTTCAAATGTAGATCCAGATGACCTAGAACCACCCTCCCCCTGCTATTCCCACTATTCCCAGAGAAATAAACAGGATTGTGCCTCCAAAAAGAATCAAGTCATTAGATCATCCATCCCCACGATGCCCCCCTCTAGCCTACTTCCCCATAACCCCAGACCCTGACTAGCCTACCAATATACTTCCCACTCCATAACTCAAAAATGTTAACCCTCCCCCCTTAAACCCCCCAATAACCTACTATTTTTTTAAGTTCCCTCGTCCCTGTCTAGCCTACTTTATCCCCCTCCCTGTCTGAAATGGATGATCCAAGGACCTGTTGTATACTTCTCTATACAATAAACCCAAGATTATCAACCCTGAATTGTTACTTGATTCCCTGTAATTAACATGTAAATGCCCTACTTTTAAAGTATTTTGGTAACAATTTTCTTTTGCACTATGTCTTAAACCCATAAAATCTTTTTCATGATAAAATCATGTTTCTTTAAAATTTGTTGTCTTTGTACATACAGGGGTCATAAGAACTTCCGACTTTCGATGCCCCCCTCTAGCCTACTTCACCCCATAACCCCAGGCCCTGACTAGCCTACCATGATACATCCCACGTCCCTAAGTAAAATGTTCAAACCCTCCCCCCTTTACAACCCCCCTCTAACCTACTTTTTTTTATTCCCTCTCCCTGGCTAGCCTAGCAAGTTCCCCTCCCTGTCGTAATCGGAAGTACAAATGACCTGTTCAATAACTATGAAACGATAACCTAAAAATCTTTCTGGTCCGTTTTTGTTCTCACAAATTCCCTAGCTAACAACCCCCCACCCCACTCCCTCAAACCCACACGCACTAACAACCATACATCTTCTTTTTTGATCCAAGCAAACATCATCTTCTTTTCAGGGAATCTGGAACATCAATATTGTGGTTAGTAAACGTTTCAAGATGTCTATAAAGTTAGCTAAAATTGCAATTTAGATAAGGTTCTAATAAGACAGAGATAGAAAATTAATTCATTACATTAGTTTTTAATTGGTGCACATTTTTAATTTACAAATTTTCAATGTTATTTTGTCTTAATGGATAATTCAAATATAAAAAGTTATAACAGTTAGTATTTTACAAACCTGTTGGAGTACTCCAGGTAGCGTTTTCTCAGTTTCTTGACTTCAGACTTCTCACTATGCTGTCATGACGATCATCTTCTAATGTTTTTCACTTCTATCGTCTCTTTTGCCAGTGTCTTGACTCTTCAAATGTAGATCCAGATGACCTAGAACCACCCTCCCCCTGCTATTCCCACTATTCCCAGAGAAATAAAGGATTATTCCTCCAAAAAGAATCAAGTCATTAGATCATCCATCCCCACGATGCCCCCCTCTAGCCTACTTCCCCATAACCCCAGACCCTGACTAGCCTACAAATGTACATCCCACGCCCTAACTCAAAAATGTAATCCCTCCCCCCTTAAACCCCCCCAATAACCTACTATTTTTTTAAGTTCCCTCGTCCCTGTCTAGCCTACTTTATCCCCTCCCTGTCTGAAATGGATGATCCAAGGACCTGTTTTATAGGCCTACTTCTTCAAACAATGAACCTAAAATTAACAACCCTGAATTGTTTTAAAATTCCCTTTAATAAACATGAAAATGCCCTATGTTTTAAATGTTTTAATAACAATTAATAACCTTTCACTGATATAAATGTCTTAAATGGACGCTAAACCTTTTTCATGATAAAACCATGTTCTTTAAAACTTTTTGCCTACATACAGGTCATTAGAACTTCTGACTTTCGATGCCCCCCTCTAGCCTACTTCCCCATAACCCCGAGCCTTGACTAGCCTATTATGATATATCCCACGTCCCTAAGTCAAATGTTCAAACCCTCCCCCCTTACGCCCCCCTCTGACCTACTTTTTTTATTCCCACTCCCTGGCTAGCCTAGCATGTTCCCCTCCCTGTCGT